CCGTGACTCCTGCTGCGAGGTTTTTCCCTCCATTTTTTGGCCCCGGAGGCGAAGCGATGAACGCTGAGGAGCGTCTCTCCAACTTTTAAGTGTACTTTGTCATCGCCGTGCAATGATGGTGAACATTAATATTCCTACTTATGCATTTTTCATTTTCCCGCGGCGCTCGTCTGGCGCCTCAGTGTGGGGCTTCATTTATAAACCGCACTTCCCGGGCAAAAACCCTGCTTTCTTTGCTTTATCCCCCCCTCTTCCCGACCCACCGTAACCTGTTATTTGTAGCGCGTTCGACTTAGAGGAATTAGTTATGGATATCAGTATGATCTGTTCGGTCTCTCCAACTTTCCTTCCTAATGTCACGTCGGAAAACAAGTTCGAATCGGAACGTTTAATTTATGAAAACAAATCTGGAATAGGTATTTAGAACATCTTCTTATGCAGTTTTGAAAAGCAGCTTAGGCATTCTTAGTTTTTGTAAACATTTTTAGATGCTCTAAAATACTTTTTTTAAAATGAAAGAATTGGATTTTAGAAAATATTGAAAACTTTAACTACAACTCTAAAATATATATAAAAGTATGCAATAATTATTTTTATGACATTTCAAGAATGTTTTTATGGAACCTGATTTGTCGGAAAATGAAGTACAAAAATCCTGGAGCGTGGCTTTTCGTAAGTAAAATTTCTACACAAATGAAAAAATTCCAAATAATACAATTTTAAAGTATGTGTTTATCTTAACGACGAGATAAAATATCTTCGAAGAAGTCTGAAAGCGAAAAACAAATTTTATGTATCCATAGAATTGTTGCTCGGTAGCAAACCGAGATGAAAGTTCCTTAATGTTCACATTTGTACGCAGCATTTACATTAACAATACTATTTATTCTACTAATGTTTAATACTGTATTCACCTTTACCAAGAGACCCTCTTACTCTCTCCCCAGAGGCGGATCCGGCAATTTGACAACACTGGCAATCCTCCATTTTAACATGTGTTAAATAATCGATTCTTGTCGGAGTACCAGGCCCCTCCGCACACGGAGAAAAAAACTTCGTGCATGGGACCCGAAGTTGAGGTCATATGGATCTCTGAAGTTTTCGGATCTCGCATCCGAAAACTTGAGGTCCAGCTGCCGAACTTCGGGTCAGACATATGAAGTACTTAGGTACATACCGAAGGGTTCGGGTCACACATCTGAAGTATCCGGTACATACCTAAGTACTTCAGATGTCTGACCCGAACTTCAGTAGTTGGACCTCAAGTTTTTCGATGCGTGATCTGAAAACTTCAGAGATCCATATGACCTCAACTTCGGGTCCCATGCACGAAGTTTTTTTCTCCGTGCAAGAATCGATATATTTCCATAGGTTTAAATGGAGAAAAATTGTTGTCAATTTGCTGAATCCCCCTATGTTGCTTTCTAAATTCAGTTCTTACGCCTTTAGTTATGATTATTGATTATATATATGTACAGCCAGAGAATTTCATGAAAATATTGTCTTAATAAAAAGAGAAAAAAAATCTTAATCAAAACTTAAGTGAAGAATGTTCGTTGGCTCAGAATAATTACAAGAGTTTGAATTTATTTTGTTTGTTCCTCAAGTTCGTATATTTTTGATAGCTCTATTAAAGTTTCCTTGAGAAGTTCTCTTCGAGATCGTGGCCTACAACCGGGGCATTGTCGTGAAAGAAAAGTGAAGAGGAAAAACCGAAAGTTCCACGAAAATCCTTCTTTGCTGCGTTTTGAAATTCCGCAGAAAGTGTTGTTTTCACCTTGTTCATGAGAGCATTATCTCAATTATTTCTGTTGACAATACTCAATTAACCTCGCAGACGCTGTGATATAAACTTGGCTGGAAGGCAGTAAATCTGAGGAGGATCCCTTTGTTGTAATTTATTCTGCGCGTAATTGGTTAAAGACAACGAGTTGCATATAAAAGGTTCGTAATAATGGTCGGGAAAGGGGGAAAAAATGAACGAGGTTGGGATGCAGAAAATAATAATAATAAAAGAGAATAACTGATAACAGAAGAGCGAGGAATCTTGAGGAGGGGAAAAGTTTAACTATTATTGAACTGAAACTCTCGGCGGAATTAATTTCAGAGAGGGTTTCTCCTTCCTTTTTTTATTTTTTCTTACCGCCCCTCACGAAGCAGAGTTTCTTGCAATAGTTTCGCTGTGTGCAATCTCCGCTCACTAGAAGGTGCAAGGGCTGGAACAGGAGAGAGGGGAGGGGGGTTCAATCCAGGTTCGGCCCACCTCTCCGCCAAACTTCTCTCTTTTACATAAATGTGTTAAAATTGTGAAAAGTTAAAGTACTCCATTTGTTTTGCTATGTAAGAGGGAGTGGCTGCTTTTATAAACATCTTTAGATGTAAAGCCGGAGTAGGGAAGAATCACACTTTCCCAGTGCACTTTGACTTTGAAACAAATAA